AGGTGGTCAATCCGGGGGTAGAAAAAACGTCTGATCAATTGGCCAATGAGGTGTGTTGAAAGGAAGCGGATCCAACCACAGCGTTTCCTCATTAAGTCAAATTGATGATTTTGCGATTCAAAACGACAGTTTCTCAAATTAAAATTATAGTTTCTCAAGTTCAACTTAAAATGGTATAGTTACAACAAACTAAGCCATGGAACATGGAGGAACGAGCAACGCGCGACTCCGTTAGGTCTGGAATGCGTTCTTTAGAACGATAGAAAAGGTCGGTTTATGAGCGACCGGATGACCTATCAGCTTAGCTGGCTACAACTGCACAGGCGGTGATTCGCATACACTTATCATACATAGATCGGTCTGTGCGTTATCAACGCGCAATTAGGTTAGGCTTTGGTCGGTCAAGACTGATTCTTGTCTTGCATGTGAAATTGCTGATGCAAGTCATGAAGATTAGATAACCTCTGTGTCACTCGAATCGTTTGTGTTCTTTGTCCACCTCCCCGCCTCGTTCCCACTGAACGCGCTATGACTAGGTTTATTGGGCCTTGATTCAATCTCCAACGTTATTGAACTCCGAATCAATAAATGGCTGAGAATGTAATCATTCAGACATAAATTCAATCCCCCTTTTTGTTACGATCTGTTCCAATTCCACCAAGGTGAAACTATTCGGTTGTATTTGTGCGGATAGGACAGTGCGTCCCGCCATCAAATTAACATTAATCACCAGTTTTTTTTTGTGCAAACCGATGGTAGTCAAGACAATGTCTTTAGAAAGTTAATGAGTATTTATTGGAAACTACTGATCTACGAATCAAAATGTTGAAAACAAAATGACGTTACCGGGAAGTCTGGGACAATAACAGGCTTGATGAAATGTGGATGTAAAATAAATGGCCATTTGAGTAGAACGTGCGGTAGTTGTGTGCGTCTGTAAAGGAATAGAGAATGACATGGTCCACATACACGCACACATGAGCTCCACTTTTTTTTGTGCATTTGAATGGCTATAGCATGATAATCCCGTAGAACATTTTTTTTAATGAAACCAGCCGACTGATTGCTTCTATTCATAAATTATTGAAAGTATTACTTTCTTAATGACAGATGGCAATGTTGATGGCGCAGTGGTTTAGTCACTATCACTGGCGTGATTTGGACTCTATAGTCCGAGGTTCCAGCCCTGCCATGGCCACCCGAACTTGGTGGTAGGCAGGTTTGCTGTCGTTCGGTTCTCACGTCTAACTTAGCGGGACCTTATGTGGTTCACCATTCCAAATCCCGGGACTTAGGTTGCCGGTTTCCACCACTGAACAGCAGGCATTTGTGACTTAGAGGTCCGTCTCGTCTGCTGTTGATTACACGAAAGCATGTAATAAAAAAGTTGTAAACTGTAGGAAAGGCTAAAGTTTCAAAATCATTCAAATGATTAGTTCTCGTTTCGAGAGACAAGGGAATGGTTCTTAGGGGGTAGATCGCACATGGTTCGGTTACAACTAGCGCATTCTCAAATGTGATTCACCCTACCAGGACACTGCTTATTTTCGCTGCTTTACAGATTCATCTAACTTTATTCAGAGGAGGCGCTGGACTGAACGAACAATTGTTATAGCCGTTCAGTGACCACCACAAACTGAGCTGAATCTGATCGGCGTGACCGTTCTCAGTGGGATTAATATCAACCTGTCTGCGAAACATGGGAGATATTGGCTTACCTGTTTTAGGCTGACTGGTCTGTAATCACTGTGGAGACGAAATGAACAGTGTTAGCGGTCAAAATTTGAAAGTAATTTTTGAATAAAAAATATAGAGTTTGAGAAAAGCACTAAAAGCACTTACCACTGAGTTGTACGCATATGTGACAGTATCACTGTATTAGAATTAAATCTCATCAAATATATTTTCTAGGTTGTAAAATAGCCCAATCTCATTATTCGTGTTTTCTAACATTCGACATGAATTTGAATTATCAAAAAACATTGTTGGCATGAAATTGTGTTTTCAAATTTTACAGTGTACTCACTACTAATCGAATAGTATGAATAACACAACTATCTAGGTAACGGTAAATAACTAGTTCAACAGAATAATCATATGAGCAACCTCATTTATATAAGTTTGCCGTTCATACGTGTGACAGTGGCGTCTTTCCCGAGATGGTAACTCTTAACGTTCTGGGTGTTTCGGAATCCCCACTGGAGCATCTCAGCCAGATTGCACGTCGGATCAATGCCAGAGTTTACGAAATAGCTCTTCGGATAGCTGACCTTGAAATTGACCTTGCCCTGTGCATCTGCTAAATCCATGATCTCTTTTGTTCCATACGTGTAAACCATGGTCAAAATTGCGTCGGGCATTTCCTGCACAAGGGGATGAGACACAAATTTAATAGTGGGTGAGGGACTGTGGTAAATCCGCTGGGCCTAAATTTTTCCATTTGTACTGACAAATTGTGTGTGTGTGTGTGTGTGTGGGTACATACCAAAATTGACAGTTTGTATTGAATGTCCCATTTGTCCACGCTGGTTGAAGTCACTGGTTTATTTTTATGGTACAGTTTTCCCACAACTCGGAATACTATCCGGGGATTTGCACCACGACGGGGAAGGGACCAGAAGGAAGGGGGGCATGGAAAAAAGTGAATATAAACATGTGGAAAGCAGTCGCACAAATTTTGCAAGCGACCAAATTGAGCTTCAATATATTTATCACTTATATTAATGCCTTAATTATTGACAATAATCCTTCTCTTGTCCACTTCAATCTGTCTCGTTTGTAGGCTGCATGATTGCCAATTAAACGTGCCTGACCTCGGGTGCCAAGATTAAATGATCTCAATATGAAAGACGCAAACTTTATCAAATAAGAAAACGCAATGTATATATATATATGTATATACTGTATTAGTCCGAGGAAGTAGTCATCGAAACCAGGGTTTGTTCGCTACCATGTTTTATTTCGATTTTGTTGAAAATGGATAAATACTGGCTCCAGGACAGAAAACTTACACACTGGATCTGCCAGTCCCGAAATTACTGGATTGATGATGAAAAGAGAATCGATAATAAAAATGGATACGGATCATATTTCCCCATGTGAATGACAAACAAGTAGAACAGAACAACGATTCTAATTGTGATAAGCGAAAACCCTTTGAAATAGTTGCAAAATGTTTTTTTTAAATCAGCTGTGTGCTCATCATAACAACAATTCAACTAATCTCTCGGTCATGGTGATCAGACAAGTAATAAGGATATTTGTATGGAATTTCGTAATCTGGGAATCATCGTTAGAAATGGAAAATGGAATCTGACCAGGAAATGTAGCACACGACCAAACTTTTCATACATAAAATTACCCGGAAACACTCACCCGTTGAGTTTAGCTGACCTGAAAGGAAAGTGGACAGAACGATGAGATGTGGTAAACTTGGCCCTACAGTTGTGTATCCATAAGACACGTTTACACTCGAATGAAGGAAGGATGGCTAACCGCAATCCAGTCCTCGAAAGAGCGGGATTGGCCCTCAATGAACAAGCTCAGAATTCCGGTAGAATAAAGATACATTTTGCTCGATAGCTCTGACCTTCGTTTCACCCCGACCCCACTCGCAAATTCGTGTCTCTCTGGATCCCGCACGATCTGGCTGTGGCGCGCAAAACAACGGATCCAGAATGAAATTTATCTCTCTGTTACGGGTGACAAACCGGAACCGCTGTGGTTTTATTACTATTGTTATTATTATCATTATTGTTTGAGTTATTTTGTCTTCCTTCAGTTTATAAATTACTTTTGTCTTATGACATATTTGTTTGATGTACATCCTAAAAGCTCAACCCCATAGTCATGAGGGTTTATTTTTTCACGAATAATCAATTGCAACCTAAGCTTTGGGACGCAAACCGTTAAAGCACATTAAGTCCCTACAGATAACGCGCGATAAAGAGTCAAACGCCAGAGTGAAGCTGTCAAAGATCATTGTTGAGTGAAAGTACAATTGTTGCACGCTGGAATATCAGGACTCAAATTAACTGAATGGCGGTCGCTGAAATTGCCCGATATCACCACAGAACCTATCTCATATTTCCGCGACAATCAGCACAACCGGAGACAGTGGTCTCGGCTGATGGCTAGTGTAGAAAGGAGCTGCAGATGTGCATTTATTCCACTGTTGCTACGCGTTATCGGCCTCCAAAAACCTCAGTATGGTCGGGGGTGGGTGTCTAGGGTTGCGCCTAGTCACCCTTCCCTTGCACCTAGCAAAATGTTACCGCCATACGACCAAGCGTCCCAAATAGCCTCTTCTGAGGAAGCCCTGCTCCCTGTCTTCTCGTGGCTGAGGTGTTTTCCCACTAAAGTGAGAGAACGAAAAGTCGACATCCGGGGCTGTAACCGGGTCGTTGAACCCCTGGTAGTTCACCGAAGGGAGTTGGCCAAAAATCCTGGTTCCAAACCAACCAAGAGAAAGCGTATGAACCACACCCACACACTTTTGGTTGTGACAACGATCACCGGCCAGATTGGGCATCGAGGTGTATTGGGCAACTTGAACATTTGACCCCGTCCGAGGGGCACATGATCCAATGAACTGGACACCGGCTCCCAATGGTTTGCGTGTCAGGCTATTGCTAGCCAAAGGCTCCGGTTGTGGATTCCCTAAGAAGATTCATCTGCCTTGACCTGGGCAAATTGGCAGTATTTGGTCCACATGCAAATCGTGGGACATTCTTTTATTTTTATAAAGATTATTGTACCGTGATTTGTTTCGCACACAGTCTGACCTCAAACAGGTGTGAAATATAACATGATATCAGCAGTTCAAATCTATCGATCACCCACTGAAGGTCAAACGTGGGATAGCACAAGCACAATGCTTTGGCCTAAACTGCATGATTATCGAGCTACCGAGTCAGACGACCGCATGTGTCTCAAGAGTTGCCGGTTTTGTCTGGGTATCACCTAATGAAACGCTAGTGAGTGTCTCCTCACTGCTTCACTTTATTCAACTGAAAAGTAAACTTTTAGCGTACCTCTAAGTTCACTATTGTCGTATTTGCCCCTCAACTTGACTGGAACTAGAACCACGGTACACGGTGACATGATATGACTCTAACGTTTCAATTATGGGTTTCACGTAGGACACAATAAAGCTCCGCCAGGACAACTTTTGTTTTAATACTGATTATAAGAGCACACGGCGGCAGATTTGAACTAAACTTAATCATCAAACTGGTGTATTTACGAAACATGACGACGGAAATGTTGAAAAGTGTTCACTTACCAGGAAATGAGACAATTGTCACACCTGTATCACCGTATAAATCCGTAAATGTTTTCTTAAAAATGGCACCATATGTCGGACAGTTTATATCGATCGGATACAATCCAAGATTGCCTTGACTCAATTGTAAAGTGACCTCGGCTCTGAGACCATAAGACGGATCGGGAATGAAGTAGACCTGGCAGGCCTTTGTATCCGGTGGGACCAATTCGCATGCAAATGCTCCTTGAATCTATCGAGTGGTGGAAGAAAATATTGCATGAAACCAATGTGGTGGTGTTCAATATGGTGGTGGTGGTGGTGGTGGTGATGGTGGGGGAGTGCCAGTATGGTCTTCGGGTAGTTACCATTTCCCATTCCAAGCACATAAGCACATTATCAAACATAGTTTGCTGGGACATATATGTGCATTTAATGGTTGCGGAGCAAAACAGATTTCTCAGATTAGTTTACGTAACAATGTGACACAAATTATTCGGAATCCTCCTAGCGGGTGAAAGTGAATAAAATATACGGGTCTAATCGAAACTGAAGTAACGGGTCCCTGTGAAACACTTTTCGGTTCGTATAGGCAACAGCATTTATACTGAAGTAAATTTTTTTCTAAATAATAATAAACAAGCCTTTCTGAGTCTTTATACACGTGATTTTTCTGATTCCTTTATGCTCTGCAGATGGAATGATTCAGAATTTAGCAGATACTCCCATTTCGTCAGTAGTGGTTGACTAGACCGTGATGAGTTCAGAGGTAACTAAAGAAAATGGAACACTTTTTATTCACAATAAATTAACACTCATAACAATTAAGATGCAAAGTTTGTGTACACTAATAGTCCACTGATCTGTCTTTGTTCTTTGGAACTTTTACGAGTCTCTTTCTCATTAAATCCACCAACTTTGTTATGAAATTATTTTCTATTTTGTGCTGTGCGAAAAATGACCTTGATTTCAAGGTTGACTTTGATTGAAGTGGTATTTCTCGAATTCAGTGAGTTAGATATCGAACATATATTATTATTATCATGAAACATTATTTAATTGAATTTCTCCGGGTTGTGAAAGAATTTTGCTCGATTATCCAATAAATTTACAATAATGGATTATATATTAGATAAAATAATGCCTCGTAACAAATAACAGGGATGACAAGAGTTCAAGTAAATAATTTAGGATAATTCTTGAGTCATTCCTACTAAAAAATACTTGATAAGGTTTGCGTCTTTCATGTTGAGATCATTTAATCTTGGCACCCACGGTAAGGTACGTTTAATTGGCAACCAGGCAGCCTATAAACTAAGTAGATCGAAATAGACAAGATATAAATTATTGTCCATACCTAAAGCATCAATACCAATGATAAATCGAATGAAACTCAATTTGATCATAAAGAAAATATTTTAGTGCATCCCACTCGGCCAGTACTGTAAGTTTTCTGAGCGTAAGTTTGCTGCTCAGTCGTAATGGAACCCCGGCATCAAAGGCCACTGACGAGATCCGCATCTTTCAGTTTTGTTCTACATTAGGTGGTGCAAACGTGGGGGAAGCTGTTGAGAAACGGATGGGCACTTCTATTGTTGGGGAAAGCTGCAATATGGATGAATTCTCATAGTCTGGATGAACTAACTAGTCACCACGCACTTACAACGCTTGTAGTTTAGGGAATGGCACATGGGCTCACCATTCGAAATCTTAGCGAGAGTTCCGAACGGAATGAAGAGTCCTCAAGATTTCCTCATAAAAATTGTGAGTGTGTGTGAACCGTTGGAGATCACTGCGGATAATGCCACCCAGGTACTTGATATAGGTTAATCTTGGCACATGATTGCAGCTAAGGGTTGTGGAGTCCGTTGAAACTGAAGATACACTTACTCTAGCTACTTAAAGTTGTTAAGACTGAGACCAGCTTGATTGGAAAACTGTTGGATTCCGGATAGATTCCCATTAGCGGAATCAAATTCTGAAGAAGTGTAAATTGTATGACACAAAAGATGCTATCAGGATACTTTTGGATGTGTGCACGGAGATCGGCTTGAAAGATTAGTAATGAAAGCGGAAAACAGATACGGAGATAGAATGAAAACCTCAAGCACATCGAGATTCCTAACTATATGTTTCACGAACTCAGAAAAAAAAAGGATGATTGAGTAACGGGATAAAACGCAGACGAGTAGTCAATAAAAAGCGCAACACAAAAGGTCAAACAGAAACATTGGACTCGGAATTATCAACAGGGTAAGTGAACAGCTTCATCTATCTACTCATGCAACTAAATCCAGGTACTGAAATCGACGAAAGTAGAGGTTTCCGTCTAAGAGCACGAGGGAGATTTGTACACTGGAATAACGATTACGCTTTCGTGATAGGAATATATAAATGGAACGACAGCTGCAAAGAAAAGACTGTTCCAAATAAACTACCCAGCCTATCCAAAACTGGGACATCCGCAATGCTCAAACGAGAGACCGTAATCAACAGTGAACAACTGTGAGATTAGGAATGTGTGCTACGGAAAATTTAAAAAGAAAACTCACAATTTCGCACAGTTTTGCTCGGTATGGAGTGCAAGGTTGCAAGGGATTGGTGCACGTGGTCCCTTTCAGCGTACTTTTTGTGAGCACCTCAATTTCGAATGCTAGAATGGGAAAACAGAACCTTCAGGTTTAGGGATGGATGGGTGGTACGTTCATCAATTATACACATGCATGCACTCGCGCGCACACATGGAGAGAGGGAAAACGTAGTTACTCAAACACACTTCATTTCAGACAACTGGTTCAACTATGGCTGATTAACTGTTCAGTGCTTGTTCATGAGACCAGTTCGGCATGTTACACAAGCAGGTCACCCGGATGTTGATAATAATCAAATATATATACAGAATCTACCAGAACCGCACACTAATAACTTAGAAGAATAAATATATAATGAGAACCTGGATTTAAAATCTTATAATTCCTAAGTTTTGACTAAAAATAAGCAATACTCATATTACAAAACGTAGTGCTATCGGGTACGAACTACGAGCAGTATAAGTGAAACATCTTTATGGAACTTACGTTGAGTCAGAGTTTCCATATCACCTAGTTTGAACGGGAGTAACGAGAATATAAGTGAACTTTCAAATTTAAGCTCACAACCCGACATCCATAACCGCAACTTCAAAGAACCATTCTCACTGAAAAGCTTTGAATGTAATGTTCACATTGACGAAAGTTTTGCCGGTTGATTTTATTTTTCAGGCAACATATTAGAAATAAATAGACTTGCGTAGCTGGCAACGAGATCTGTGGGTTGTTCATTTGACAATAAGCCATTAAAAACCCCATCTCATCCCCTAGAGCCGTTTAGATTCAGCACCTTGTTAAATTCGTCTCCTGCACATTGAGAAATCAAATCACTGGTGTGATAACAATGTAGCTCACTCGGAATGGTCTCCAGTCCTGTCGGGGGATTGAGGGGTGATACAGGGTTGAGGAAACAAATAGTTGAATTGAATTAGTTCGCTTTAACTTCTCTAAAAACGAAAAAACAATCAAATCTTCATAAATTTCCATCATTTCTGAGCTGCCAAAGCATTCTTCTACCATATTCACCATCTGGTAACTAGTTATTAAACCACCATCTGATTACAATTTGATAAGACGAAAAAATAAAGCGTCCAAAGCGATTATTCAACTTTATACAGGAAGTAAGTGATTCGAATTATCCATTTTACTCTTACAATTCTCATCATCATCATCATCAGAACAACCATCCGGATCTCAGTGCTCACTTTTCACGCCGATATCTTCACCCAAATGATATCCTGTGAATCCCGTGGTGTGTTTCAAGGCCCATTCGATTTGATTGACAAAATCGCAGTTCGGATTTATCTTGCTATCGACGAAAAATGATTTGGGATAACGTAATACGTATTGCACTTTTAGCGTATCTCCGTCCGGAACAATTTGGAAATTGGTCACGCGTTTTAGCCCGTAGGTGTACATGATTTGGAATACAGAACCGTTCACTTTCTGTGTGTCGAAAGGAGAACCGAATAGCGGAACGGGTTACCCATAGGATCACCAGCAACAACATCACCAGCAGCATTCGTATTTGCCAGTCCCTAGGGTAGTTTGAACTTACCAGATTGGCCAATTGTTTCATCACCGTACAAGTGTTCTTCTGTTTCCAAGTATTTGCTGCCACAGCCATCCCTTTGTGTTTCAAGGTTCCACTCACCTGAATCGCTGTATGATTGAGGAAGTAGCATATATAATAAATATATCAACGTGTTATCCGATGATCATATGTGGGTATCATTTGTTCCATAATCGATATGCAACACAGCGATCATATCCGGCATGATTCTATCCGATATTGTGAAACATTTACCCACCCAATGCGACCGATAAGCGTACACTCTGACCTCGGATGACTGACCTTCATTAGTCCTCATATTTTTCGGTATCTATTTTTGTCACGTCATAGATTTAAAGTTTGCCGTTGAGGACAGACAATATTGTGCAAAAGCACGATTTCGATTCAAGTTGACGAGCTAAATTTGATAACAATTCTGCCGCCGAAATTTAATTTATCGATTATTGTGTGAGGAAAGCCTAGCACGGCATTTTAATTTGTCTGCTCGGGTCGGGAGGGTTTCCAGACAGCCCATTGTCAAACGGTAGCTCTGTGTATCGCAAGCTTCCGCAATGCGTGTTCAGTTGCATAAACGCCCAATTCGAAAAAACGAGTGAGACACGTTGAGTTTCTCTGGCACTTCAAGAGCAGTGCGTGAACACCCAATCAATCTATCGAACACATTCTGGGGGAATCACTAGGTCCCTGGAGGAACCGTTCGGTTCATTCAATGCTCACATCATACTCCACTGACAACTAAGTTAATTTCGTA